CGCCTTGAACTTTGAATGCTATGTTAATCCGAGTGCCACTCTAATTAACCTTTCGCCAAATAAATTTAAATTAAAAATACAACTTATTCTTAAAATGTTGATGCACACATTTATTTGTAATAATCATATTTTTATTAATATTTTTATTTGCAATATTTATTTTAAAGTAATTTACAGATATTTCATACATATTTGGAATGTTAAAAGCATCAAACGCGGACGTTTTTTTAACAAAAATATTTATATAAAATTTTTTCATTAACAAAAAAATTACAAAAAAAAACAGTTGTGCAAATAAGTATGATTTTTTTGTGTTTCGACTACTATTTAAAAAATGTCCAATCGACTCGCCACTTAATCGATGCTTCTAATATTCCAAACCTATTTTGACTACATATATGTATGTATATTCATCTGATATCAATTGATATTCTAATAAAATACACGTTTTTTATTCTTCGATTTGGAAAGCAGTAAATTAAAGTGAACGTTTTTTGTTATTTATAAACTAATCAAGCTACAGTGTTTTTTTTATATATTTAGTCAATATATATTTTCTTAAAATTGTTAGCTCGCTTCTGTAAACGGTAGTTAAATAATTTTAATAATTCTGCATTAATTTACTTATCAAGTTCAGGTTTAGCTAAAAATCAACAATGCTTTTTAAAATTTATTTTCTTTTTTCTTAGTTTTATTCAAAAAAAACTAGCTATGCACTTACGACTAATATACATACGCACATGTGTATATATTTTCATTTGTGTTTATCTGTGTGTGGGTTTTTTTCTCCTTTGTGCTTTTGTAGGATTTTTAATTTTAATTATACAAAACAAGAGATTCTGTCAATAGTTGGGTAAGGCCGCGTGAAATGTACCACGAAAATTTCGCTAAGTCACGGCTTTTTTGAAAAACTTATGTATATCATAATGCTAAAAAGCTGGCATATAAATATTTTGCAGAAATTCCCATATTTGTCCATGTTATTGAAAATTATATTTTAGAGCGGACAAAAAAGAAAAATTCATTCCTAATCTACATATAATAGATTTCGGCACGAAATTTCGCACGCTTATATGAATATTAAGGTTTACACTTTATTATACAAAAACGGCAATGCCAAATTTTTATAAACACTTTAATACAGAAGCCAAATCAAGAATTTTTAGAATTTTTGTCTGTCTGTCTGCCATCTGTCCGTCAGATATACATGGAATTGAATGCAGTTTTCACCGAGTAATTTCTAAAGGTCTTACTTAAAATACAGAACAAAAATAATAACAGAGTTGCCACCTGTTTGAAAATTGCAATTTAAGCAAATAGAAATGATAAATTTAATATTGCAATACGGCTGTGAAAATAAAGAGGTTTAAGTAGGCCTATATCCAAAAATTTTTTGTGGAAGGTTGCCACTTGTTTGAAAATTTAATTTAATTTTATTGATAAAATAATTTAAACATTGCAATATGGGTATCAAACTAAAGAGTTTTATGAAAGTTTACTACCAAAAATATTTTTGAGGATCGTTGCCACCTGTTTGAAAAATTTTATTCAACTATTAAATTGATATACTGAAATATTACAACACGGGAATTAAACTAAAGAAGTTTAAGAAAGTTTACTGCCGAAATATTTTTGTAGCGAGTTGCCACCTATTTGAACAATTTTATTCAGTTAAAGTAATTAGATAAGGTAAATATTGAATTAATACACCTTTGAAGAAAGCGTACGATATGTAGAAACGAGTTATAAGATTATAAATTACATTTCCAGGATTAAATATCTTCGAAATTATAGTAACTAACACCCTTATTTCTAAAAAACTTTATTTTTTCAAAATCGAAAATTTGTTTTTATATTGAGGGCTTTTATTCAATATATATCCTCTATCTGCATTTTTCACAAAAATGAGATTCTGACATAAAAATTCAGCTAAGACTTAACTGTCATCGGTGATAATAATGCTGACTGACCTTGCATAACGCTTTACAGGTGAATTTACTATTAAATTGCAAAGTAAGAATTAACATCAGTGATGACAGTTAAGTCCCAGATGGGTTCTAACATTACAAAGAAGTTTTTGTGAACATTAATAATAACTTAAATATCAGCCCTCGATACACTTTTAAGGCGCAGTGAAACACGCTGGCTATTTGCTAGTTTTTCAATAATTTTATTTTTTAATCTTTCAAAATTTGTATATGCCAGCATAAGCATTATAAGCACTTTACAAATGATATACTTTTTCAAAATTCCGTGACTTAGCCAAATTTTCGTGGTACACTTCATGTGGTCTTACTCGGTTTTAAAAATTTTATTTGACCATTCATTTATTTAAGATTTCTTATAAAAATTAAAATGAGCGCCCACCAACAAACAGGTGGCTCAAAGGCTTAGAGGCTTAAAGATTAGAGGCTTAGTATTTTCACAAGCAAATTCAAGCGGTTTTTAGATTTAAATCGTAATCGTCACTTTTTTTATTATTTTAATTTTTTTAATATTTTTTAATTGGACTAGAAATTTTTTCTTGTTGTTATTCATTATCCGCAGCTACAGTGATATTTTATTTTGAAAATTATCAAATATGGTTTTAGTTAGAGAAACAAATTTTCAGTGACGTTATTTGATTTTTTTTTTCGGCATACATACTTTTTCTTAAACTACATATTTAAATAAATTTGTATTGATTTTGAAATAGAATTTCATACTTTATAATTACAAGAATTCTTGTTTAAAATCGTGTTTGCAGTTCTCTTAAGGATTTTTTTTTCTTTAACTTTTGTTGTACATTTAGTTTAGCATTTTTGATTGTTTTACATTTTACAACAACACAATGTTACAAGCCTATTTACAATTCGTTATCTATTCCACCTCACTGGTATTTTAGCCGCCTCCTCTACCCTTCTCATACAATACATACAAGCCAATGCATCTCATCTGTAGGCGGTTTTCCTTCAGCTCATCAGTTGCCAAAATAGTTCATCGTAGGACCCGTTCTCGATCTCACCTCAGTTGGTAAATAGAAAGGGTCCCAATGAACCTCAAACCATCGGTGGCTTTATGTCCACCAGCGTGCTGTGATGATCCAAACCCGGACTGGGCGCCGAGCTTCCCAGCAAATGATGGTGATGATGTTGATGCAAATGCGCATGCGCATGCGCATGTTGCTGCTGCTGATGATGTTGCAGTTGCGCCTGCGCTTGGGCCTGTGCCTGCGCTTGCGCTTGCGCGTGTGCCTGTTGTTGTTGTTGCTGCTGCTGCTGCTGCTGTTGATGATGTTGTTGTTGGTGCGCATGTAGCATCACTGGCGAACCACCGGACATGTTGTGTGGCGATGAAAGATGCAAGCCGCTTGACAACAGCCCACCAGTGGGTGTTGTATTTCCGCCTGACTGATGTGAATTTGGCGTACCCGGATGGCTATTGCTACCACTCTGCTGGCCATTGCCACCTGATAGGCCATTCGATTCGCCTGACTGATTTCCGGGCTCCTCCGAATCGCTGCACGACTCTGATGAACCCTTCTTCATACTGCCACCCTGACCGGTGGCGTTGTGCGTCTTCACATGCTTGGCTAGGTGATCGCTGCGCATGAAGCGCTTGTTACAGATGGGGCAAGCGAAACGCTTTTCGCCCGTATGTGTGCGCAGATGGCGTTGCAGCTCATCGGAGCGGGTGAAACGTTTGCCGCAGAAGAGCCAATTACAAACGAACGGACGCTCGCCGGTGTGCCAGCGCAGATGTGCCTTCAGATGCGACGTCTTGCCGTACACTTTACCACAGCCAGGTATGTGGCACGAGTGTATGTTCTTCTTGCGCAAGTGCACGCCGGCTGGGCCGAGCCGTTCAGCTTCTTGACAATTGGGGCAATCGCATGTGGCGCGGCCGGCATAGCGTCGCTGCGAACGTGGCGATGGTGTTGATGGCGTGGATGCTTGCGGCGAGGCCGCAGTGGAGCCGGCCGATGGTGAGCTGTGTGGCAGCGAGAAGCCACCCACGCCCTGACCGGGCAACATGCTCTTGTATGTGTCCTGCAGCAGATGTTGACCGGAGCCCAGCAGATGGGCGGTGTTGGAGAGCGAATGTGACAGCGCGGATGAGTAGTCGGAACCGGCGGCTGTGGCGTAATTGGCCATTGTTGAGTGCATGCCGGCGCCACCCATATCGAGCCAGCTACCCGCAGCGCTGTGCATATCCCACCAGCCAGAATTAACGCTTGCAGCTTCGGCCGCTTTATGGGTGACGGCATTGAATGGCCAGTCATAGGGATGGCGTGAGTACACCGAACCGAATGTTGCACCTTCCACCTTGCCCAGCAGACCCTGATGCATATGATGATTATCGGCTACCATGCCACCGCCGGCACTGCTCGTATTCGGGAAGTACAAATCACCACCGTAGGCCGAGGGATTGCTGACCGCAGCACATGACGATGGAATCGGACGACTGTAAGGATAAATGCTGAAATTATTCTCAGTTATAAGTCTTGTTGCACAATTGGTGGTGTGGTATTGGAAAGGGGCATGCATGAGGGAAGGAGTATGTATATGAAATTGAGTGCTTACCTAGCAGTGATGTTGACCATTGTATTGATGCTGGATGAGGGTAGACTGCGCGATGAGGCCGCAGATGAAGTGCCGCCCAAGCCCAAACTGCTAGCTGACGAGCCCGAACCCGAGGACGACGAAGCGGAAGATATGGTGCATGGCGAGTGTTGTCCACCGGCAGCGCCGGAAAGAGAACCACTCGATGCGCCACTGCTGCCGCCACCGCTCGACGGCGATGTGGGACTTTTCTTCCAAGGGTGGAAGCCTTTACCTACAGCGGCGTCGGCCAGCGGAGGAGGTGATTTGCTCGACAATTTATTGCACTGCGCAGCTAACATCGCGAGGGGTGTGCCACGCAGACTGGGATGATCCTGAAAGGAAGCAAAGGAAAAGTGTTAAGTGCGAAAGTAATTACTTTTTCCTCATTCGTAAACGCATTACTGGCGCAGTACTACAAAGCAACAACCTCTTTTGTTTCTAAACCAGCATTGAGGGAATTGTTAAATTGCCGTGAATTGAGCAGGGCAGTTGAGTAAAAAGGGCAGTTGCTCCGCAGTAGCGCCTCAGTATTGCGTTTAGGAACAAAGGTTTATTAGCTCATGAAGGTTAGAGATTTTAAGCTTTTTGGTTTGCAAACGTAAATTTATCTACATATACAATAAATTTAATATTAAATGAAATATTGCTGCAACTAACGGTCAGAAGAAAAAAAAAACACCTCCAATTTTCGAAAAGTACTTTTCGCGCTAAATCTAATCAAATTTTTTAAATAAAATTACTTGGAAAGCGTGAGAATATTCCACGAAATTGCCAAACCAATGCCAAAATAATCTGAATACAAATTGGTTGCGTTCGATAAGCGAAATTACAACAGCAACAACAAAATCAACAACACACCACTCAAGCCAAAAATGATCCCACACAGTGTTTGGCAGCAAGAACTTCAGGTAAAATTAAATAAATTTGATTTGTGTACGAAATCTAATTTGACCGCTCCACTCCAACTCAATTTCCTCTCTCTTAAGCAAAAAAAAAAAACAAAAAAAAAAACACGCATACAACAACAGCAAGACGTAACAACACTAGTAGTGGCAACTCCTCATCGTGCATCTGCCCAACCAATTATCCATTCATACTTCAATCTATGCCGAAATTTTGATTTATTCTATTCTGAACGCATATCTTCTAATATTCTCACCAAAAAGAATCCTCAATCAACCAACGAGAGGAAGTCATTAAGATCCCAACAAATAGCATTGAATTCAAAAACAAAAGAAGGATGAATGAAATAAAAGGAAATACAATTTTGACTTCTTCTTTGCCTTGCCACACTTGCGAAGCGTAACGAATGATCGTAAATCCTGACACTTGTTTCGGTTTCTTGGTACTAATGCGCGATTATTTTTCATTGGCGCCGAAATGTGTTTAATTTTTTTGCTTTTATCTCTTTTGCATTAATCCTACAAAGTCAAGGGTCGAAGGAGTCAAGGTTGTGTTTGATGAATGGCTTATGAACTGTAGCGCCTTTTCGAGATTATATTTTTTTACATTTACTATTACAAAATAATCGCTAATTATGTCTTTTTCTTATTAACATCTGCTGCATTACACTTCCAGGCGATAGACGATTATTATTCTATAGAAAGGCCATATATTTTGCTATTTTGTTTTAATCGGAGATACACAAACATAGGAAATGAGAAAAAACCGTCGA